CTAAAAAGGGTCAAAAGGTTCAAGCTTCTTGTAGAAGCTAAAAAAAGGGGTCAAGCTTCTTGGAGAAGCTAAAAAGGGTCAAAAGGTTCAAGCTTCTTGTAGAAGCTAAAAAAAGGGGTCAAGCTTCTTGGAGAAGCTAAAAAGGGTCAAAAGGTTCAAGCTTCTTGTAGAAGCTAAAAAAAGGGGTCAAGCTTCTTGGAGAAGCTAAAAAGGGTCAAAAGGTTCAAGCTTCTTGTAGAAGCTAAAAAAAGGGGTCAAGCTTCTTGGAGAAGCTAAAAAGGGTCAAAAGGTTCAAGCTTCTTGTAGAAGCTAAAAAAAGGGGTCAAGCTTCTTGGAGAAGCTAAAAAGGGTCAAAAGGTTCAAGCTTCTTGTAGAAGCTAAAAAAAGGGGTCAAGCTTCTTGGAGAAGCTAAAAAGGGTCAAAAGGTTCAAGCTTCTTGTAGAAGCTAAAAAAAGGGGTCAAGCTTCTTGGAGAAGCTAAAAAGGGTCAAAAGGTTCAAGCTTCTTGTAGAAGCTAAAAAAAGGGGTCAAGCTTCTTGGAGAAGCTAAAAAGGGTCAAAAGGTTCAAGCTTCTTGTAGAAGCTAAAAAAAGGGGTCAAGCTTCTTGGAGAAGCTAAAAAGGGTCAAAAGGTTCAAGCTTCTTGTAGAAGCTAAAAAAAGGGGTCAAGCTTCTTGGAGAAGCTAAAAAGGGTCAAAAGGTTCAAGCTTCTTGTAGAAGCTAAAAAAAGGGGTCAAGCTTCTTGGAGAAGCTAAAAAGGGTCAAAAGGTTCAAGCTTCTTGTAGAAGCTAAAAAAAGGGGTCAAGCTTCTTGGAGAAGCTAAAAAGGGTCAAAAGGTTCAAGCTTCTTGTAGAAGCTAAAAAGAGGGTTCAAGCTTCTTGGAGAAGCTAAAAAGGGTCAAAAGGTTCAAGCTTCCTCAAGAAGCTAAAAAAAAGGGGTCAAGCTTCTAGAAGAAACTAAAAAAGGGCCAAAAGGTTCAAGCTTCCTCAAGAAGCTAAAAAAGGTTCAAAAGGTTCAAGCTTCCTCAAGAAGCTAAAAAATGGTTCAAAAGGTCAAGCTTCCTCAAGAAGCTAAAAAAAAAAGGGTTCAAAAGGTTCGAGCTAAAATACACTCGGGAAGATGGGCACCGACAATGCATAGCCGGGCGCCCCGAAAACAGGCTGTTAAGCACCGAGAGCAACGTATGGCCACAAAGGTGGTCTCCCAGGCCACAATGTCCCTCTAGAGAGAGGAAACAAGGTGTGTGCCAAAACCCGGAGCAAACGGAGAAAGTTAAACGGTCTCGAACCGAGGCGCACAGCTGGCGGCTCTGAAAAATTGAAAACTGATCTCCAAATGGGGACAGTGGTCTATGACCACAAAAAGTAGCCTACGGCCACTAAGAGATGGTCTACGAGACCTCTCCCTCCCTTTGGGAAGAGAAAACAGAACTTGGTTCGCAAACCGAGGCAAAACACAAAAGGGTCCCGAGGTCCAGGGTAAGGCTCTCAGCCGAAACTCCGAAACCTCAGAACAAGCACAACATATGCAATCACCGAGCGCTCAATCGATGACGTCTGAGTCTTAAGGTTGGTCAAAAATGGGGTGTCTACACCTTATCAGAGCGATTCAGAGATTCATCTAAGAGATTTAGAGATTCAGAGCGATTTCATCTCAGTGATTTCATCGCAGAGATTCAGAGCGATTTCATCTCAGTGATTTCATCGCAGAGCGTCAGAGATTCAGATCGGTCTCCACCATCTGCACCATCATCTGCACCATCATCTACTAAGGTGAGCTCCACCCTCTTTCTCTCTCTCTCTCTCTCTCTCTCTCTCTCTCTGTTTCAGTGATTGATGAGTTGTATGTGCTCTGTTTCAGTAATTGTTTTTCACTGATGAGTTATATATGCTCTGTTTCATTGCCTTTTCTTTGTTTGGTTGCTGAGAAAACTGGGAAAAAAATATTAAAGAATATAAATCTGGATTGTTTTCTTTTTTCATGCACTTGATTTTAAGACTGAATGCTTCGTCATTGCTGCTTCTATTTTGCAGGTTCTTATACAGAAGACCAGCCGACTTCAATGGAACCACAATGGCTGACAAGTTATCCATGCTGCCTTCTTCAAAGGCAGTCTTTACTATGCATTCGGCTGATGGATAATCGCAAGAAGGGAATAGCTTCAACATTTCATAACCTTTGGAATGTCTGTACGGCAAAAGATCACAGACGTCTTGGACGGTAAGCTTTTCGTATATTCCCTCAGATGAAACCACTAAGTAGCTGTCGTTTCTGGTTAACTTTTAAGATGAGAGCTTATTGTAATGTGTTTCTGCTTGTTCAGACTTAAATTACGAATCTCTTCAAATTGTGTAATGTATAAAGCATCATAATAGATTATATAAGTTAGTACTTTCTTTAATACTACATAAGCAAGAGTTAAACAAACCTCTCTTCTGCAGCAGAAATGAGACCAGCTGTCAAAGCAACACCACCAAACTAAAACAAATAACAGTATCATTAATTCTATGCTAAAAATAGTATATGTAAAGTAGTACTCTCTGCAATTTACACAAACTCCGAAACTAACCAGTTGTATGCTACAAAATAATTTTCTTTGGAGGTCTATACGCCCTGTCAATAGAGAACCAAACAGATAAGTCTTGATGTAAATCTTCCCCTATCAGAGCATATCACTTTTGAAAGCAATCTACCTGTTGAAAGAATGCTCTTTGTGATAGCTTCTGCAAGGCCAATGCAATCTTCTTTCTTTGGTTTAGTTTGAAAAAATGAGTAGCTGTCCCACATTGGGAACCCACTATTAAGGCTGGAATACGAACCATCTGACATATCACTTCTTCTTGGAAATTCCATATGCCATGCATCTTCCAGCATATCTTCATAGTCATTAAACCTAGTGAAGTAAAATCAGTATGTTAGAAGGTAGGAGAAAGAAAAAGGAAAAAAAGTAATTCAGCACAAGTAACTTAACAATGTAAAGCCATAAATCTTGAAAGTTACACACCAAAAACGGGGTGGAGGAGGATGCACATCTGGAACCAAAAGCATAGGGTAGAACAGACCCATAGGGGGAACCTATTTTAACAAACTATCAGAAAATAATTGCATTCTCAAAAAAACTGCATTATATTCTTCCTACTACAGAAAGACAGCCAAGCTGAACATTTATCAAGGAGACAAATGCAACAATATTAAGGTCCAAACAGATATACATTCAGAGCTGTTAGTCTGGTCTTATGAGATCCAGCAGGCATGCCATCTTCATATGAATGAACTACAGCAACAGCTTCAACTTCCCCTTCCTGGATAAAGAAAAAACTAAACAAAATTAGCAGAGAGCATAACCAAGTTAAGATAAAGCAATGCTTTTTTTCTAGAGAACCTCAAGTGATAGCTAAGATATCTAAGGAATTTCTTACCATTACTAATTGATAAGACACCAATAACCACCTGTCTAAGATGCCGCCTTGTTAACTTGACAAATAATTTGGAAGAATGAGTTGATTTTGCCTTTTTGTTCAAGAACCTATTCTATTAACTTCTTTAGAACATCATTTTTCCATGGTTTGTTGATGCAAATACACAAAGATAAATAATTTACTTCAACAAAAGAAAAATAAATTCCTACGTCTATATTATTGTAGGAGTTGCCACATTCCATACCTTCTGTCTATGTCAGAATGTGACAACTATCACAAATTACATCAGCATACAGAATTAACAAACTTATTTCTACAGCGTAGTCCTGGCTTGCAAAACCAATAGCAGATATTGAGTATGAGGTGAAAAGGTAGGTAGAAATGATTTCAACCCCAAATTGAATATGTAATGGAAAAAGAAGCAACCGCTAAACCATTAATAAAGCATACAACCTGTACTCGAATAACTTGATCCATAAACAAAATATTCATCATAAACTATGACCGCATAACAGAGGTAACGAGCATTGTCCTAAAAGTTTTGAATGTCTCAAAATGCAACTTCTAACACAGCTTTCAATGCATGAATCCTCAATTTTGTGTTGTACGTTTCTTATGCTTGGATGTCGTTCAATCATAAGAATGTGAAAATATATGTCGAAATTGGACAGTGCATTTAAAATCCTAGTTTTGATTGATAAACAGTGAGTGGAACTGGGCAATATCGGAACACCATATGCTTAGTCCCATTGGATAGCATAATTAATAGACAAATGTGAAATTCATCAGAGAACTTGGGTAAACCAAATGCATACTCTCAATACAAGCATCATTGCCATCTCATTAAGGAAGCTTCTAGTACAATATGACACCCTCACGTGCCCATTAAACTAGCTTTCAAGTGTAGTAAATGATGACACCATATTGAATGCCCAAATATTTCCATACATTCTAAATATTGTGCTAGTCTAATACATATTCAAACAGTACAGCTGTGTCGGAAGAACCAACCAGCCCTATCATATCGCTCAGAAAAGAAGAAAGAAGGAAGAAGAATGGAAAGTGAACTCACTTTAATCTGACAATACATCTCTTTAAGTCTGTTGAGCATCAACAATTCCACAGGCTTTGTCAAAGCATCAGTACGAATTGGTGGCCATGTCTGATGATGCCTCTGTGTCCAGAGAAGGCATCTTGATATATCCTAGAAGAGAAATCAACAATTATGCAGTTTAAGAAAAGGTAACAAGAAAATTATCAATATGAAGTCATAGCTGAAAGATCAAAATGAAGTAGAATTATACATCCAGCAATTTCCTCACAGTTAACATGTAAAACAAAAACAAGTTGAAATCTGAAATCAGAATCTAAACCTCTCCACCAAAACGTAAAGTCATCTGTGTAGTTGGTAGAGCAACTCCGTCCTGAAACAAATATAACTAGAATTTATTCTGCCTACATGATTTTAAACACAGACAGACAATTAACTGAAAAACATAGATGGTCGAAGCGAAAGTGAAAGCATAAATTCAATGATTTGGGCACCATCTGAGAAGCTTGTATGTCACATTCTGATCTTGTTATAATTTGAGATGTATCAGTTCTGATATTATGTCATTTACACCTCATTCATATATTCTTTCTGACCCAACGTCATATAGTTATTTAAATTCATGAATCATGATTTGGGCACTTGTATATAAAGCCATGTGATTTTTGCAGGCTATTACAGGCAAGTCATACATAAATGGTTTTTTGTTCCTCTTTCATATTATGTTTCACATTTGTCAAGACCTGAGCCACAAGAAACGGGACTAAAGTATGTGCAAAGAGAATGTTTCAAGTCTTCTATATCCATACTAGATTGTATCACTGTTTGGGACCTTTCCCTGATCTATTAGAACGAAATTCCCAATAATATACTTTGTTCCTCCAAGTTTTCATATATTTCAGTTTTAATTTTTTTGTTTTCTTTCACAAGGGTTGTTAAAACAATTCATTTGAGTCTAATTTTGATATCTGTGAGCATCTGCTGTGTGACTAGTAAGCTTTCAAAGGAGTGCCAGAGGAAGCTGTTTCTACATATAAATTTTGTAGAAACATTTACATGTAAACCCACTGAAACATTTTGAATAGTTAGCTTTTTTCCCAAGAAAAAGCCACCGGATTCACACGGTGTGAAACCACACCTATTTAAACCCACTGAACTGTTAAAAGAAAAGCCACACTCACAATTGTAAGAAATTTCACCATTTTCGTTGTCTTTATTTCCTTCATTTTTAGGGGGTTTGCTGTCAAGACCGACCTTTCAACCATTCAAAGTTCTCTTTTTTGTTCTCATGTAAAAAAACCTTTCATTTGTGTTTTGAACTTTATCTCAAATCAAGATTCAAGAATCATTTTTGCATCGCAGCCAGCCATGTCTAGTTTGTTCCCCCAGAATTCAAGTTTCTCACCTGTAAGAACTGCTTCTCCACATATAAGGACCAACCCAGATGTTGATAGGTATATTATACGACCCTTTTTGATTCGATTTCGATTCTAATGATTGGGTAGTTTTTGATGAGTTTATAGCTTTGATTGAATTGGGTTTTATATGTTTCTGGGTATTCTTAATTTCTTGTAGTCAGTACTTGGCATAGCTCTTAGCAAAGCACCAGAAGCTTGAACCTTTCATGCAAGTCGTTCCCATATGCAGCCGATTGTTGAATCAAGGTTGGCAACTACCTTTGGTTTTGGATCTTGTCTTTCTATGTTTCTATTGGGTTATCTTGTTTTTTGTCTAATTTCTATAATGGTTCTATTATATTATGAGAGAGAGAGAGAGAGAGGATTGGGATTGTGCATAAACCAAATTGGCTTCCAATTGGTTTTCTTGTTTTCAACTTTTTTCCAATTGAAGTTTGAAGGGATATTAATTTAAATTAAGGTTATGATTTGTGTTGCATATGTATTTAGAATTAGAGATTCTTGAATATTTATCAAAAAAAAAAGAGAGAGAAAAGAATTAGAGATTCTTGAAGGGTGTTTGTGTAATGGCTTAACAAATTTTGGTATTTGGTGTTTCTATGTTTTGTTGATCTCAACGAGCATGAATCGATTGACACGATTCCTGGAATAGTAGGAACCCATTGGAAAATATCGTGGGGGCATGACGATTACATGTATTTGGTATGTGCCTCAGTTTCACCCCTTTAGAAAATATTCAAGTATTTAGTCAAATTTCGATCTTCAATGCTATAAAAACAGGTTGTTAATGTAATTTGGATTTTCATTTTTCAGGTGGCTAAGGAAAATGGAACGACTTTGCCTCCAGCTGCATTGTTCATCATCCGATATCACTCTTTTTATCGTAAGCATTTATGCCAAAATATTTTTTTCAAATTCCAAAAATTAGTTTTATTTTATGAATAACATGAATATCTGGATCATTCATCTTGCAGCATTACACAAGTCAAGAGCATACACACATTTGATGAATGCGGATGATGTTGAGAATTTGAAGTAGCTGAAAATTTTCAAGTAACCCCTTTTTTTTAGCATTTTGTTTTTAGTTTCATGTGTTATGCCAATATAACTAACAAAGTTTACTGTTTTGCATAAACTTTCTCGAATTTATGTAGCAAATATGACCTCTATAGTAAGAGCAAAGTGCACATTGATGTCAAGAAGGTCAAGCCATACTATCTTTCTCTTATTGAGAAGGTGAGCACTACACTAGTCAGGAAACTAGGTGTGTAGAAACCATTTACAGAACAGTTCACTCACAAGGAGCATCTTATGAGTTCCGTGACCAGTTTCTATGCACATCTATTTTTCGAATTTTTTCTTTTTTTGTCTTGATTTTCGCATTCTTAATTAATGAACTTTTTTGCAATATTTCCCAGCCAAGCTGAGATGGTGAACATTCCAAATTGAAGACATTGATTTGAGAAATCACAGATTTTATTTTATTTTTCTTTTTGTGATCGATTCATGCACTTGTATAAAACACAACAGAGATTTGTGGGTTCTTTGTAAATCCTCTGCTGTGTTCTAGAAATGTTCTATCAATAAACAATTTAAATGCATTTGGCGGGATATAATTTCATTCCTTTGGCATTTGTTTCTTTTAATTTCTACTGGATTGTTGACGATGAGCTTTTCTGTAGATATTATACTCTCTCTATTTAATGCTTTTGCCCAAGATAAAACATTACATAGGTAGAATGATGTTGGGATTGAACTTATTGGATTTTTTTTCTTGAACGATGTTGTATTGGGTACTATTATAGATGTGAGGGAATAGTAATCTCACAGAAATATATGTCTATACAAAGTTTTATTCATTATTGCTATTTTACAGGTATATTTTTAAAGTTAAATCTTACAAAATTAGTAGTTTGAAAAAAAAAAAAAAATCTATTGCAGCGTTTTTCAAAACGCCACTATAGCTATATTTTTAAAATAACAAAAAAGCTATTACAACGTTTTTTGAAGCGTCGTTGAATGCCTGTGTAACGTCATGTTACCGTTGGCTGCCACATTTAGCGGCGTTTACTATACTAATTTTACGACGTTTTTAAAGCGTCATAAACTTACAGCGACGGCCACATCCGCGGTGTTTGGTGATAAGCGTCACTAAAGGAATTAGAGGAAAACGCCGCTAAAAGTCGTTCTTCCAGCAGTGACTTCTGCTTAAAAGAATTATTTCTTAGAACTGGTACAATTAACAATATTCTATAAACAATCTATACATGTAAATAATCATCCATTACTATTAAATAATTCACTACTTTAATTATTTTTAAAATAATTTAAGTGAACCTTCACTTTTATTTAAATTACTAATACAATATAATATTTGGTTCATTATAATGAAATGGAATGGTCTCTTACAATGGTTGAGGTCTTGGGAGGAGAAGGATCATTAAATGTATAAGCTTTTCATTTAATACTCTTCTTTATAGGTCAATTTCTTGGAGAGGATATGGTGCTAGAAGATCTGCTCAGAGGTCTGAAAAGATGACATACTCTGCACATAATTCTGAAAAAGTGGCTAAGAAAAGGGCTGTGTTAGTCCAGATCTGATTTGGTAGGTGGGATTTTTTAAACCCAGATTTTGCAAGTGTCGACCCCTGTAGATTGGGTGTCGACCCTTCGCTTTATTTTCTTCTTTGAGTTGAGTTCCAGGTGTTCCTGGTGTCGACCCTTATCATTCTTGGTTTCGACCCTTGCAGCTGGTTTGCATTCTGAAATTTAGTGTTGACCTTTGCTGCTGGATTGCACATTGAAATTAATCGCTCTCCAAGTTTGTTCTTGGTGTCGACCCTTGCTGTCCTTGGTGTCGACCCTTGCTTCTAGGTTGCACTTTGAAATTTAGTGTCGACCCTTGTTGTCCTTGGTGTCGACCCTTACTTCTGGGTTACATGCTGAAATTTAGTGTCAACCCTTACTGTCTTGCTGTCGACCATTACTTCTGGAACACTTAGACATTTTGAGCATCACTCTGGTGTCAACCCTTGCTATTTTGGTATCGACCCTTAGACCTGTTTCAAGCATAAATAGAATTTTGCAAACAAGTGCTAATCTCAAGTTTTGAGACGTAAAAAAAAATTAGCAACAATTTTTTGTAGAAAACCAAAAATAAATAACAATAATCAAAACATTCACTAATTGGCGAAAATTAGGTAAGTTGTGTATTGGAAATTAAATGTATGAAAATTCCAATTGTTGGTGATAATTTAAGGAACGATTTGTATTTTGTGCCTAACTGGACATTAATTACAGTAACGTCTTAGATTCTAAAAATGCTAAACTCTTCAAATAAATTACATTTAATATTATACCAAATATTCACATGGCACTCATGTGGGTCCCATGTGGTGTAGGTCAACACCCATATAAATATTGTGTAGAATATTTGGTAACTCATTTTGTAAATTTAAAATTATTGTTATCTTTTCTTATAGAGCAATGCTCGTAAATTAAATGAAATTAATTATAAAATTAAATTATAATTGTCACACAATGCCACATAAAATAAGATCTTTAACTTTTGCCAATAAAAAGCCTTATGTCCCAACTTAAAATATCATTCAAAATTCAATCGATGGTGAAATGAATGCATTAAACAGTGTTTATGAGAAAATCTGAAATCAAATCTTAAAGTTTTGGACGCGAGGAAGAAAGTTTGAGCGCAAACTAAATATCAAATCTTGTGGCAGTGTGGTGGTGGTGGCATCGAAAGGGTTGGAAGGACAAACTTCTAATATTTTTAAACAAAAAGACGAAGAAAATGAGAAAAATGAGGGGAAGGAGGAGAGAGAAGGCCAGTGGCTAGAACCCCTTCCCACCACGGTGACACACCCAGTAGAAGGCTTAAAGAGGGAAACTTAGAGAAAGATGCTCCATTTAGAAGGATTCTAAATTACAAAATGTTACTTTAGTACATCGACAACTTCATTATTGTAATAACCCACATTCATGTTTTAGTCATGTTCATGTTCATGTGCATTTGCATGATTTCGTCTTGTTAAGCTTGCATTTGTAGACTTAGACTTGTTTTGCCTAGGTAAAAGTCCCTGTCTTGTTTTGTGCTTATGTGAGTTGCCTAAGTGTTGTATGCATGCTTTGTTCCTTCCTTGCTGTCTCAAGCCTAGGTCATGCCAAGACTAGGTCATGTTAAGCCTAAGTCATGCCAAGCCCAAGTCATCTTAAGCCTAGGTCACACCTTTGAACCTCTTACACCTAAGACCATCTTGGAACCACTTTGGTTGACCTCCACCTTCACCCTGGCATATTGGCCGAGATGTCATCATCTAGGGCGAGGTGTGCAACACCTAGGCCGAGATGTGTTTCATCTAGGCTGAGATGTTATCATCTAGGCATCCAACATCTTTGATCCCTGCACCTAGCGATCTTGTTCCAGGACTGGTATGACCTAGACCGAGGTGTGGCACATCTAGGCCGAGGTGTGGCACAGCTAGGTCAAGTGTTATCCTTCCTAGCCGAGATCATTGAAACCTTCTTGCCGAAGCCTATGTCCTAATCCGAGACCATTACCTGCCCGAGTGCCCATGTCACCTTGCTTGTTGTATACCCTTTGTCATGCTCTTGTCTTGTCATTCAGTCACCTTTTTGAGGAAACCCAATCCGGTAGTGCCACGTGCCCCAGCAAAGGGTTAAGTCAGCCAACAGAGAGAGAAAACATATCATTTATCATATCTTTGCCTTTGAAGAGAGAGAAGCTCTAGGAAAAAGGAAGAAGTTCT